TACTACCTAAGATCTTGAATAATCCACTTGACCTTGCTTCTGGAGTACAAGCAGGGCTAAGACTGTGTGAAGGTCCAGTGAATAACATTACATGTTTATTACACTGGAATTCATTATATACTGTTGTATATATTTGACGGCGTACACCTCCTGCATCAATGGCAGGTGCATCATTTAACTCAATGCATAGTTGCTTTCCAAAATCAAGATTACCAGACTTATACAGGCCTAAAATATCATGCCATATGTGATCTGAGCGTATTGTAACACGGACCATTTCTGCAGAAATCATCTTCTGATTTAACATTGATAAAATTGATTCCAATGTTGGACCCTCCGATAAACACACCATTGAATCAACAAAACTTAACCCAGAAGATTCATAAACTATGGTAACTTGCTCTCTAGTGAGATTTCCTTCAAAATTCATAAATAAAGTTTCTAAATTATCCATCTGGGGTAAGTGATTCCTTGCAGATGCAGGACTAGACAGAGAATTAGTGTCATTAGCCATAAAAATAGAAAAGAGAGACTTAAATGCATGCATAAAACATAAATGGAAAATGTGAGTATACAAGGAACATAACTACATATTGCACACAGGGGTGTATCTAGGAATTTGGAGAGGGGGTGCTGGGGTATAGATGGTTGCAAAAGTTGCAATTAGGGGTGCGCAGTGCGCCGCAATTGTGACCACACCCACTTTTAACAGTGGTAAACGGCACTTTCCTTCATTTTCATTAATTATGAGTGGGGTCAAGATAATTTCAAGCATACTGGTACTTCTGATCACTTCTTAAAGCACTGGAAACTGCTGAAATCATAATCAGGGGGCTAGATAACTTTATTAAGAGGCTTGGTAGTGATGCAAAAGTCCATAACTTCAGTAATTTTTTCTGAGCCCAGCCATAGGGGGGTTGCTCAAGCACCCTCAGCACCCCCTCCTGGATACGCCCCTGCATGACACATACACATAACAACATTATAAGGTAGGGCAAGACATTTCTGCCACATGAGTAATTTGCTTTTGTTTTTTCCTTATTATTTTTGCAAGGGTAATTTTAGTCTTTGTGATATTTATAATCAAGAATAAGGGCAATTTTTAAAATACAAAAATATGAGTAATGCTTTTCAAAAGAGAAAATGACATGTACACTGCAAGAAATGCCACACCGACCTAACATTTCTAATATCATTTAACAGTTACCGTAATGAATGATCATCAACAGCTTCACCATTACCACTGTCAACAGCATTGAGTAATGAAGTTTCATTTTGCTATAATGCAACATAAACTGACTGATAATTTGAAATAAATTACTTTACTAATCCAAAATTTAAGCATTTCAACATTTCTAGATTGACCAGCACAGTGAAGTAGTGTTTCACCATTCTATGATATTAATAACAAAAATAATGGCATAACAATTTATGACAAATTATAAACAAAAATCAATCTTATAACACAATGAGTAGTTAACACTAATAGTAGCAAGGTATGATTAGTTGATTACATTTAGCTATTTAAGATTAGAATTTTTTACTTTATCCACAACATCAGTTTTAGCTCCATTAGTTAACAGAATATCAACAGCTTCAATACTACCACTATCAATGGCATGAAACAATGGAGTTCTCTTCTTCTACAATACAGCATAAAGTGACTAATAATTTGAAATAAATTACTTTATTTTTAACATTCACATCATAATCTCCTCTCTTAATCCAAAACTCAAGCATTTCAACTTTACCAGATTCACTAGCACAATGTAGTAGAGTTTCACCATCCTAAGATAATAATAATTACATACATAATTAGACATAACATTTATTCTACTACATATCAATAGCCTGGTGAATAGGCAGCTCCTCACATACATGTAACTATAATTGAAAGTCAGCACTACAGTAGTGATTAGCTAGAGTTACTGCAAAGTCTGCAAATACATGTAGTAAGGTTAGTATAGAGATACTTTTACAACAAAAAATAATGAAATGATATACATTGTAATAATCATAAAACCTAAATAACATTCAATTAAACAAGGAGACTATTTTACATAAGTATATCATAAGAGTCCATATTGAATTGAAAAGTGAGTCCCTATGAGCTGGACAGAGCTTTCATCCCCATTGCACATGACACAAAAGAGGGCATTAAGGCCATGCATATAGGAGCATAAGATTCTATACTAATTAAAAGTATATACTTATGTGACACAAAACATACAACCTACTAATTACATATGCTATTACAGCAATACATTGGGAAAGAGGCTGGTTGGGTATATAGGTGGTAGCAATTAGGAGACTGAGAATCATTGAATTGTACCTGAAATGCATCATCCATATGCTACTCAAGCTCACATGATAAATGTGGTTAGTAGCACATTTATATTTGATTGCCCATGACAATTAATGTGACAATGCCATCAGCATTCTTAACAAGATGCTTAAATTCATTTTATCATAGAGCATAGAGGTGGGCAATATTAAGATACCTGCAAAAATTACTTAATATTATCAAATACCTGAGTAGTATCATTAAATCTAATGCCAAGTTGTCTTTGCCTTACTTGCCATACTTATTTATACTTACTTAAGTGTCAGTATCAATAAAAAAAGAGGCACCTCTAATTCTCTCAAAGTATCAATGTTATTTTTTAAGTTTTATCTTGCTGTGGTAACAATCAAAGTATGTACATGTAGCTGGAGGTGTTAATTGTCATATTTTCAAAGCTTGAACAGAAGAAATGAAAGTGTGGCATGCAAATGTGCTGCATTTCATCAGTTTGCATGTGGGAAACAGGTATGAATGCTGTTACAAGCTTTCAGCATTATACAGCATAATAAACTTACTTTATCAACAACATTAGTTCTAGCTCCATTAGTTAATAAAATATCAACAGCTTCAATATTACCATAATAAACAGCATCAAACAACGGAGTTCTTTTGTTCTACAAATACAACACAAAATGATACAAATAGAAATGATTATTTAATAACTTTACCCTATCCACAGCATTCACATCAGCATTTCCTTTAGTTATTAATAGCTTGACAATTTTATTTTTATTCCTTTCATACCTTGCAATAGCAGAGTGTAATGGAGTATCACCATACTATGAATGTTTTAAATATAATTTTAATCAGAAGAAATGAAAGTGTGGCATGCAAATGTGCTGCATTTCATCAGTTTGCATGTGGGAAACAGGTATGAATGCTGTTACAAGCTTTCAGCATTATACAGCATAATAAACTTACTTTATCAACAACATTAGTTCTAGCTCCATTAGTTAATAAAATATCAACAGCTTCAATATTACCATAATAAACAGCATCAAACAACGGAGTTCTTTTGTTCTACAAATACAACACAAAATGATACAAATAGAAATGATTATTTAATAACTTTACCCTATCCACAGCATTCACATCAGCATTTCCTTTAGTTATTAATAGCTTGACAATTTTATTTTTATTCCTTTCATACCTTGCAATAGCAGAGTGTAATGGAGTATCACCATACTATGAATGTTTTAAATATAATTTTAATAACAATAAATCCCTTGATAAAGGGAATAAGTTCAGTATACAATAATTTTTTGTAGGATATCACTAGTTTAAACACAAGACACAATTTTTATGTTGCTTATGCATAAGTAATGTACATGGTTGTTACACATGCTTATTTAGAAAATACATGAATTGAATTAATCAGCATATACTAATAAAACTTACTTTATCCACTAAATCAGTTCTAGCTCCATTAGTTAATAGAATATCAACAGCTTCATTACTACCACTATCAACAGCATTAAACAATGGAGTTCTTTTATTCTATATATAAGGACACTCCAATAAAATTTATGCCTTCTTATGACCCGCCTGCATGGTGCCACATCAGCAACATCACAATATATTCATTAATGCAGTTTTACATTAATTATTAATGCATGCAGTTTATGCAAGTAATATTAATAAATTGAATGAAAACCTGCCTGCCACTGACATGACATCAGGCTCACCATTATATTGAAAAGCTATGAGTGGTCTAGTAACTAATAATTTGAAATAAATTACTTTATCTAAAGCATTTACATCATGATCTCCTCTCCTAATCCAAAACTCAAGCATTTCAACTTTACCAGATTCACCAGCACAATGTAATAGAGTTTCACCATCCTATGACAATATAGCATCACATATTCAAACCAGTTAGCTTATTTTAATTATGGCCATACTGCATAAGGTGAAATGTTGACGGGGATTTTATATTGGTGGATTGATAGATTTATATAAAAACGCTAAAATAAAATCCGCAAGCAATAATTCCATTTATGTGTGTGACCACACCCGCATTGATTTTAGTTAGAATCATGGTTAAAAGCCACTAGCTAAGTTAACATGGCTTTATTATGTTTCCTCAAGCCAGTCTCTAAACCAGGTGATAAAGAACACAATCTTCCAGCCGGTAAAAGGCACCATCTTTCTCTGATAATATGTTGTTCACG